AGGCCCAGGTTCTGGCCATGGGCGCTGCCTTCCCAGCTGCACAAGCCCTGCGGGTCGCGCCAGGATCCGACGAGATGGCCCCTGCTGCTGCCACCCCCGCCGCAGCCGCCACGGGCCCACTTGCGGTCTCTGGCCTACGGGCGCCGCCTGCTGCTGCGCCTGCCGCTGGGCCACCCGCTGCGCCACCAGCAGCACCACCAGCCCCAGCAGCCGTGCCTGCAGTTGCAGTTCCAGGTTTGCAGTCAGCCTTTTTTTCGCCCTGCAGCTGGAGGCGGAGAAGCGCCTTCCTGGGAAAACGCGGGCATGGACGATGGTTAGGCGGCGTGGGTAGCGTGGTGCTGCACGGCGAGGAGCTCACCTTGCCGCGTACAACGGTTCGTCCTGGGGGTCGTGCCGTGAATTTTTGGAGCTATGTCGTCCTGATGCTCAGGCTGTCGCAGCGCCAAAGCTTCGTATTGATGGGGACGAAGTTCGGCGTGCTGAGGGATGGGCAGCCCGAAACGGTTGGCATGCTATTATTTCTTTTTGCAGGCGTCTGGAGTCTGGGCGGCCATCCGCTGGGGTCGGACTCTTCATCAGGCGCCACATCAACGTTACCACTTTGCCTGGGTGCTCGGCAGCTCCTGGGTCTTTCGAGCTGGCGCCGCACTTCTGCGTCGCGTGCCGCGCGGACTTCGGCATCAAGGGCGGCCTGATCCTCGTCTCTGCCTACTTCGAGGTTGACAAGTGGGTGGACGTGAACGCCTACAGGCTGTTCGACATTGCACTGGCGCTGCGCGGCTGGAACAGGCCCTTCGCCATGGCCGCCGACTGGAACTGTGCCCCCGAGGCGCTCCAGGACCACGGCTTCTTGGACTACATCCCTGCCCGGCCCGTTGCTCGGCCCCGTGGGGGGAACGTTGGAACTTGTCGCAGCGCCAAGGGAAATTACAGCAACATCGACTACCGGTTGACCAGTCTCTCGATCGCCGGCGCTATGTCCGAGCCGCGGCCAGTGCCAGGCTGGCCCGCTGCCCCTCACTTCCCCGTGGAGGTGTGGCTCGACGCCCGCGCTAAGGCCACAAAGTTCCTCATGCTGTCTGGGCCCGCCAGCTTCCCGAAGCAGGCCCCCGACGAGGGCGCCGCCACAGCCACCGTGCACGACCGTGTCGACGTGATCCAGACCGACGTGGAGCTGGGGGGCCACGCGTCCGCTGCCCAGGCGCAGTGCAGGCTGGACGGCTTGTATGGCACGTTCATCGCGGCGGCGGAGACGGAGCTCGTGGACCTGTACGGCGTTGCCGCTGATCGGTCCAGGCACTGCGGCCGCTCGGCCAAAGTCAGGCACGCGTGGAAGCAGGCAGGCGGCCCCCCCTCTGGCCCGCACCCCGCTGCAGCGCCTGATGCGCGCCGAGCCCGCAGGTTGGCCCAAGCCGCTGCTGACGTACTCCAAGCAGGACCTCTTCGGCGTCATGATCTCGTTCGCCTCGAGAGGCTGGTGACAGCGGGCGCGGAGCGACGCTGCACCTTGGACCTGTGCCGCACCGTGGTCGGCCTGCTGAGACAGCTGTTCCCTGTCGTGCGCCGTTTCCTGGATGCCGACCAGGCCGCTTTTCAGAAATGGTGCGCGTCTTCGGCCACAGCAACGTCGGCAGCGCAGGAGGACGGCCAGCTTGGGCGTGAGACGATCTTGGTGGTGCCGGGTGCCGAGTGCGCCGGGCCTCTGGGCGGTGCCGGGCGCCGGGTGCGCCGGGCCTGCCCCCGCACCAACACTATGGACTGCGACCTGGGCCCCATGCAAGAGCTAGACGGCGGCGATTACGACATGGGCTTCAGCGTTGCGCCTGCTGCCCCTCAGGCGACCCCTCTTCGCCAAGGGCTGGCACAGAGGCGTGCTACCACCATGGAGGGCGAGCTCGACCCCATGGTGGATGCCTTCCTGGACGACCCGGACATGGACGGGGGCGGCCTCTGCGACGACAGCGGCTTCGGCATCCCATGGCAGCAGGTCGGCCCACCTGGTAAAAGTGGCGCCCATCTTCGGGTGGGGTCGAGCTCTTCGGCCAGTGTTGATTTCGTGAACGACGGGTTTGGCATCCCTTGGCAGCAGGTCGGCCCGCCTGGTGCAAGGGGCGCCCACCTCCGCGTGGGGTCGAGCTCTTCGGCCAGTGTTGAGTTCGTGAACGACGGGTTCGGCATCCCTCGGCAGCAGGTCGGCCCGCCTGGTGAAAGGGGCGCCCACCTCAGTGTGGGGCCGTGCTCTTCGGCCAGCGTTGTGTTCTTGAACGACGGGTTCGGCATCCTTTGGCAGCAGGTCGGCCCGCCTGGTGAAAGGGGCGTCCACCACCGTGTGGGGCCGTGCTCTTCGGCCAGCGTTGAGTTCTTGAACGACGGGTTTGGCATCCCTTGGCAGCAGGTCGGCCCGCCTGGTGAAAGGGGCGCCCACCTCCGTGTGGGGTCGAGCTCTTCGCCGAGCGTTGAGTTCGTGAACGACGGCTCTGGCGTCCCAGGGCGGCCAGGC